ATAATATAGTGTAAAGCGCATAGAGCCTGCTGTTGAGCGGGGATATGCGCTATACAAATGCTATCTATTATTATTATTATTATTATTACTTATTAAATGTGTGAGTGGATGATTGGCGAGGGCTCTGGTATGGTTTGCTCCCTTTTTCCTATCAATCATCTGTCGTCCGTATCTCTATTTGTTCTTTTCTCAGTATGTATTGCCTCTATATTTTTTTTTTACAGTTTGTGACCTATGTGTGTTGACAGTGGCAGAAAAGTTTAAAACTGAAACTAACAACTAGCTGTAGGTTATTGGCGGGTGCTCTGATGTGGTTTTCTTCTTTTCTATCAAACATCTATCGTCATTGTCTCTCCTTTTTTGGGTTTGTTATTCTCTTCTAACACTTCTTATTAATCTTCAACACTTATATGACCTTTTTGTGTTGCAAGTGCATAAAATATTTACTAAAACCTAAGAAAAAAACTAACCGTGTGAAGCCTGTAAGGTGACTCATCTGAACTCGTTGGTTACAATAATAAATGGTTTTAAGAGTAGATTACAAGCCAACAGACACCGGTGTCTGGGGTTTACATGAGCCGTCACATGTAGAACGAGTTGGTTCGATTCCCTTGCCAGGAAGGTTTTAGAGTCTTTATGGCAGTACCCTTGTCTTTCTGCAAGGACGTTGTATCCATCTCAGCAGCGGTCAGCCTCGAAAGGCAGTGTTGAAACAGGCTGCCTCCTGAATGATCTGAATAATGTCAGCATAGGAATAAGAACTTCGACATTTTTTTAGCGAGTGAGCTGGAAATGGTGGTACGGTATGGTGTGTATTTAGCATCCATTTAACTCTTTGAAGACACATCGGCACATAATGTACGATCAGCAATGAATGTTGCAACAAATTTCAAACCATCCTACACAAAACAATCAGAAACAATGATGAGCATAATTGTGTGGCATCGTGGTGAAGTCAGGCGCTCGTCAAAATACTAAGATCAAAGAAATCGGCAGGTTTTTTTTCTCCCGTTGGGCAATTTTGGCAATTTTTTTCCTTCGGCTTGAGACCATTCATGTCCATCTAAATACACATTTCTGTGTGGTTGTTACCAAAAAAAAAACAACCATTGTTCAAACGCACACGAAAGATGTACATTTGCAGTCTCTAATGACACTAAAGACTTGAAAGTCAGAAAATTTTAGCGGAGAAATTTTCTCGACAACATTATTTCTGAAACCAAGCGACCCTCTTCAATCGCAAATATATGTATCTCGATTTCTGTTCGAGATAGATGGGTATTTTATTTCATCAAAAGCAAGACAAAAGAACTAACCTTAGATAATACCAATAACCCTATATTATGCTCAAAATTTTGACGAGCGCCTGATTCCACCGCGTTGTGACATCTCGTATATATACCATCGTAAGCTTGTTGTTGCCTGCCTATCTATCAACGTTTCAGTTAGTGACAATTACTTTTAAAATATGTGTATAAATAAGGAAGTTACACTTTTTTCTATGTGTCCTCAAAAAGGACATCTTCATGCGATGTCAAATGACTGTTCATGCACATCCTCAATGAGTTAAATATTGTACGGTTGTATTAGAAAAGGGATCTCCGAATTCAGCATCTGTCTCCAAGTAAACAGAATCAAGTGAGAGAAGAGCCTTAAAATAAAACTCGATGGGAAATGTACTTTTTGGGGATTCAAACCTGGGTCAGAAGCACGCTGTTCAGCAGTGCAGTAATGCAGCAATGAGTGCTTGACTACTTCATTCCAAAACTGCGATCTTTAGAGAGGGATTCTATCCATACATGTGTATGTAATCAGTTTTATTTACAACTTTCTTGAAAGGTCAAGGTCAAACATAAACATTTCTGTATAATCTGTAACAATTCCCCGCTTCATAGACAGTGATCTTTTTATCGGAGAATCTCGAGTTGTCGTAACTGATCTTTCTTTGAAGTTTAATAGTTTTGATGTGACTTTCCTTTAGAATACACACTTAGACATGACGAGGCAATACCCCGGGAAAAATTATAATCAGGAGTTCTCGTACTTCATGTCTTTTAAACGTGATGACGAACAAAAATGATTAAGAACGCTCTCGCCATTTCTTTGAATCGGCATTTTCCTTCCGATGGCGACATTCGGTTTTTCTCTCCACAGACGATCTTATATCCTCGGGGTCCTTCAAACAACCCGGTCTCCGTTTGGCTTCGAACCACGAATCTGTTGTAATCGTCTGTGATCTAGTGGTTAGGCTCTCACACTCGCAACTGTAAGGACTTGAGTTCGATTCCAGCTAAATAAACGACGTTATGTCCTTGGGAAAGGCACATTACACGAATTTTACTCAACTCACCTTCTTGGGAATGGGTACCCAGCTTTAAGCCATGAAAGATCGTGTTAGTTTGTTAGTGTTTGAGCCTTTTACCAGCTGTTCACACTGAAAGCTTCCTGTAAAGCGGCGAATGTTTCTGTGTGTTCTAAGGTCTGCTGGGGCAGTAGTAATAGTTGAAAAGCGTTCATCATTGTCAATATCACCACCATCATCACCATCACCATCACGATCACTACCACCACCACCATCACCACCGCTATCATCACGGTACTACGACCACAGCCATCATCATCATCATCATCCTCATCCTCATCATCCTCATCATCATCATCATCATCATCATCATCATCATCATCATCATCATCATCATCGCTTATGTTTTTTTATCCTCCCGACAGAACAACATTCTTAAAAGAACAAAGAAAAAATAGATAATAACGACAAACAATCTTTTGAAAGTATCAAGTGGACAACAAATCATCTCTGCCATAACTGTCAACCCAAGTAGAAAGCTGCAAACAAACTACATCTCAGTGTTGCGATCTGACCTAGTCAAGAGTGTTTCTTTTTCTTGAAGTCGACGTTAAAAATTAACGTAAAACAAGTACGGTATGCATCATGAGACATGCTTTTCTTAGGGATATTATGTTAAACTCGAGTCTGTATTTTATTCTATATGAAAAGCTAAACATGCTGTGATCAAGCTACATCTAAAAACTTCGAAAAGTGATGATGTAATAACAGCACCAGCCCGGGAAAGAAAATATAAAAAAAACCCTCTCAACCTCATCGTAATGGACTCCACACACGCTAGAAACAATAATTCTTATTGGACAAATGGCTCGGAGACCACGCCCCGAAGTGACATCACAGATGCCACGGCTTCCTCATACGACGATGGACCCGCTGAAACCGGAAGTATTCGAGAGTTCCCGCGCACAGAACAGAGGCTTTACGTCATCAACAGATCGGGAACGGGAGAGGCCAGCTATCTTCTGCTGACAGAGGACAGGGACAACATCTTGTCCTATCGTGTACACACAGAGCTATGGAAACCCACCCAGGGGGTCATGAACTTCGGGGTTGTGGTGCTTGACAAGTCTATCTACGTCATCGGCGGCTTCCACAGAGCGAGAGCCGTGTGTCTCAACAGGGTCTTGAGGTAAGGGTCACTGTGCACTGTGGTTCAATCAGCTTAGTTTTTCAGAGAGTTTTACGGCACTTGCAGCACAATAAGGTCATATATGTATAAGTACCGAAGATTAGGTTTGTTACAAGAGAGCAACATACACAAAACAGAGGAGGAGAGATAAAGACGATAGATGCTTGATAGGGAAGAAGGAGTAAACCACACTAGAGCACCCGCCAACCACCCACCCGTTGTGGTTCAAAAGTCCAAAATCTCGAGGTTACACCCCCCCCCCCCACACACACACACACATGCGCGCATACGAAAACAAAAACAAGAAAAACAAGTTTCTGTTGGGGAGTTGTTGGTTTTTTTTGGGGATAAGCAACTTAATTAAAAGCAGAAGGATTTTTACAGGATCCTGATGATTCTCTGAGTGTTTTATGCACCTATCAACACAATTCAAACCGTTTGGGGAAGCAGGCTGTTTCGACCCTACCTTTTTAGGGCCAACCTGTGTAATGTGAGATACATTCCTATAGAAAGACGGAGATACTCGATAAAACGCAAACCCCCAAATAGAAGTTGAGCTCTAGATCTATTCCTGTGCAGGCCAGTCGAAGAGCTCACCCAGTACAACACTCCAACCTTCATCATAATAATGGTATTTCTATAGCGCCACCTCTTGAGTATCCAAGCTCTTTCCCCTTATCCTCCCACCACCTTACCTTTTCCAAGTTGACACCACAGAAAAAAAGCCCAGCCCACCTCTACCATCAACCTCCCTAAAAAAAGCGCAAAAACACAAAACACTCAAAAAATAGAAAAAATAACAATATCAAACATTAGGCTAAGCAAAACAATAGATACCCTACACAAAAACATCAAAGGTAACAGACAAAAACAGAAAAACGAGCAACCACCTTTCCCACCCTTTCAAAATGTAAGACTAATAAAAATTAAGCAATGAAGAAGAAGAAGAAGAAGAAGAAGAAGAAGAAGAAGAAGAAGAAGAAGAAGA